TTTGTGGGTTAAAGTGTCCCATTAAACAATGATTTATAACAGCTTCAGATAGACCGTTGTTAAAAGTAAAAAAGTAGCAGCTATTGATAGCATAGGCTGCCAACGAACAAAACCTGCCCACATACAATACAAACACAAATACGTTGGGAGCCCAGGACATATATTCAACCAGAATGAACCAATGATTGAGTCCGCTGGAAGAGAAAAATGAGAGCCTGTCCCATAATAGCTTGGGTATTGGGAAAAAAAAATTATTTCCTTCACAATGTGTACATTAGGGTGAAATAGGTGAGCTATTATTTCATTCCTTCCTCCCAACCTATGCTGTAAATTGCCTTAAGTGACTAACCGTCTAGCTCGAACTCTTGTAATCAAGGATTCCTAAATCCCTGGCCACCTAACTGCATACTACACCTCCATCAAATCGAGTACACAACAACTATTAAAATATATATCCCAATTCTATTTCCCCTTTATCCTATATTTTTGGGATTGACACGGAAATATGGCCAAATTGCCAAGACTGCAGTTCACCTTACATATGAAGAGCCTTCATGGAAAACGTCTAACTCGTGTATTAGTCCTTCATCCCCATGCCAATGGTACAATGGATGAGAGTGTCTTCACATGACCCCTCCCCCCACCCATTTTAGTTGATATGGTGTAACAGGTATCGATGTTCATTTGATTTCAGTGCAAGGGTCAAAACATGACCACATCCAGCCACTTCCGTCAACAAAGGGCTTCAAACCTCTTAAATAATTACATATTATTTAAGAGGTTTAATTTAACAAAACAACTCTGAATCTTTTTATCAAGAAGATAGCCTTATGTTAAACACAAGCACTGATAATTCATTTTAACGCTGTTGTCTTTCCGCACAAGATCTTCGTAGCAGGAAGATCCTCAAGCATTTTTCCCGGGGCTCCAGCACCTGATATAGGGAACTCAGGAAGTTCAATGAAACATATGTAAGGACGACCCAATTGATGTAACTTTCTTAAAATACAAAAGATGCACTCACCCTGATACTTAAAACATACAAATCTAATTTATTTTTGAACACTCCATTAATATAAACACATAAATATAATTTATTAATTAAATTTAAAACAGACAAAATGTGGATAAGCATGTATACTAAAATATCTGTCATTTTCAGTGGTGCATTTGAAATAAAAAGTCATTTCAATTGCTTTTTGTTTTTTATAGGTACAGGAGACCCATAAAATTCTACTGCATGTTTAATTTTCTTTCCAAATGCCTGCAAGAGATGTCACAATTATACATGGCTTGGTAAATAATATAGCCGTGCTGCTCTGTACGCTTATCATTGTTTAAAGTGATGTTTGTGTTAATGATCATAATTGTCTCTTTTCATTTATCTACTGTTTCAAAGCTAATAAAACTGTTAGGAAAAAAGATACAATACAAATGCTGAGTTTGTGAAGTTAAATGACTTGCAACAGATCTAAAACAGCATGTGCTGACTGCAGGAAGCAAACCCAATTAATTTCTTTGTATGGGTATTCTAAAGTAGTCGATCAGATTGAAGCAGCTTATCTGCCGGAGGATTGAACGCCACATGTGAGCAGAAAAAAATAAATAAAACAAACATACGATGTAGAAATAACACTTTCTTGATTCAAGGACAACCACAAGGCGGAATTGTGCAGGTTGAAAATTTGCCAGTTGCCATTCATTTTATCTTTCTACAGGAGAAATTTAAAAAATAATACCTCCAATTCATAAACTTTCTACTACACCTCAAGGTGCAATTAAAGATAATTAGGGATTATTCTAGCTTCAGTGACCGAATAATCTAAATTTTATTAAAGACAGGCGGTGAATATTTGCTTTACTTTCTTTACTGAATCCTCCCAGCAGCAAAGAAACAGTTAAACAACAGAAAACAAAATCAACCAATCAAAAGACATGTATTATAATATGTGGCTATGAGACTCCTCCCAACTCCTCTTTCTTCGCTGCTTGCCTCCCAGGTGAGTCAATTCTGATTACATTGGACTTAGTGCTGTATATTTTGTGTACCTCAGTTTTTTACCATACCATTGTTTTAATTGTATTTTTTGGTCCTAATTATTGTTATTAGTTATATTGTTATATAGTTATTAGTTATATAGTTATTGTTATATTATATACTAGTTATTGTTATATATAGATTCTCCCCTCAGGACCAACCTCTTGTCGGCCCACAGGGTTTTTTCTTTCACTCCCACTGGCTCTTAAGCATTTTATCATCTTACACTCGGCTTTAATTATTCCCCTCCCTTTCAGTTCAGGATTTCTTTTTTTGCTGACCGCGGTCTAATTTTCAGCTTTTTTCGGAAGACAGTAATATGTGGCTTTCTTAATGCAGCCAAAACTTGAAGTCAACCATGTAAACCAGAAAATAGTCCTCAAAACACAAAGCGTAGTCAACCAAGTAAACGAGACATAAAGAGTCCAATGAAGAGACGAATCAAGGATGCCGTGAAGGACAAGAAGAAACTTCACACTAGAATGAAAAGAAAATTCATGAAATTATGGTGTGATTGATAGACTTGCAGTCATACAGAAGCAAACATTAATGTGACAAGTCATGTGTCAATAATTATGCAATGCAATGTACATCTATATTATGAAAACTAGAGTAATCTAAACACATTACAAAAAAAACATGGTCCAATGCTGTACGAGGCAAGTACAAGGCGTTTAAGCCCTTACCCCCAAGTGGATGAAATAAAGGGGTGGGACATTGAAAGATTTAAAGAAGCCAATGGGTGGAAAAATATTCACCTCCTGTCTTTAATAAAATTTAGATTATTCGGTCACTGAAGCTAGAATAATCTCTAATTTTATGCAAGACAGGAGGCTTCATATTTGCTGTTTTAATGCCTGGAGAGTAAATGAAAAAAAAGCGTGAGATGCAGGTAGGAAATACAAGGTACGCAAAGTGGATTCTCGTGACCAATTAGCAGAAGATAAAAAGACCCCTGGTGACCATGTCGGTGGACACAGCTGTGCATAGCACAGGATGAGCACCAACAGAAGCTTCAACGTCGGCAAGACAAAGAAGCCATCTAATCCAATAAACAATCATGGGACAAGACAAAAGGTTATAAGGACATACATAAGATACAAACAGAGGTCCCGATGGAGCCTGAAGAGGGGATATGAGAGTGACATATCGCTGTAAGCAACGAGCAACACAAAGAAAAGGTCTATCTGGAAAGTAAGGATAAAAAACAGAGGTGGAAAGAACCTGTGTGCAACAAACAATGGAAAAACTTACACCATCAGGGGTGAATGCAAAAGTGTGGAAGCCAAAGGACATGATGTCAGAAACTCAACAAAACTAAACTAAACAAAGCAAGGTTAGTTTGGTTGAGAGTTGGCTCAAGGAAATTTCCGAAATAGGAGGCCATGCTTCCAGGAACAACAAGACCTGAGCAACATCCCAGAATTCGATGTATGGCGGAGCCGGGGGTTGAGAAAGACGAATACCCAGTAACAACCTGTAAACAGAAGGATGTTTCCCAACCGGAAACGTGTCAATTGGGATATGAGCTGCCGAAATAGCAGAACAAAAAAATTTATGGTACGGTTAGACTTTCCTTTGTCAAAAAGAGAAGATAGGAAGTTCATAATATTCACCAAAGTAGTTGAAAAGGGATCAATATCCCTTTCCAAACACTAGCTAACCCAGAAAACATCATGCTGAAAGGTATGCTCTAAAAGTTACGGGGGCCCATGAATCCCAGAGGAGTCCTCGAGCAGAGTCCGAAAGTCCTGAGACATACCAGGATACCCTAAAACACACCAGGTCATGAGTCAAAGACAACCTTGGATGGCGAGAGAATGGAAGTCCCCTAAAGAATCTTGGAGGAGATTGTGATACCGGGAGATGCACAGAGTAATCTGCAGACATTTCTAGGAGATTAGGATATCAAGGTTGGACCCTCCAGAGAGGAGTTATTAAAAGGATCTTGACTCGAAGAACCCTGAGACGATGAAGAGTTTGAGAGATAATCGAAAAGGGTGGAAAGGAATAAGCCCATGTTGATGGCCATGGTTGTAGGAATGCGCCGGCGGCTTGTGACATTGGATCTGGTAACCAACTGAAAATGGCGTCGGCTTGACGATTCAGTCTGGAGGCAAATAGGTCCAGAGTAGGAGGCCCGCGAAGTAGATGTGGATGATGGAAAATGCCCAGATCCAGGTGCCAATCACTGGCATCTCGCCAGTGACGGTCCTGGAAGGTATTCTGCTCAAAGAAAGAGGTTCCTGTCCAGACAGAACTGATCAAGTGCTCTCGTAAGGTCTGAAAGGAGTTTTGGTCGAGAACCCCCTAGACGATTGATATAATAGACAGTAGAAATGTTGTCCATCCTGAGAAGCAAAGAACAGTTGTAGGTGTCCTTGGTGAAGTTGTGAATCACAGAGGAAACAGCCATCAGTCCGAGGCAATTAAAATGCAATGTTAGTTCCAACTGTGTACAGAGTCTGCCCGTGGAGAGGTTGGAGCAGGTAGCCCCCAACCTAGGATGCTTGCGTCTGACTCCAGGATAAAATTGTTTTGGCAACCGAATATAGCTTTCCCCTTCCAAGCTTCCATGTTCTGGAGCCACGAGTCTAACTTTAGATTGACCTCATCGGTAAGAAAAATTTTTGGTCGTATGACCTGGATCTGTGAAGATAATGTGTCTTGAGACGTTTCCTTGCCCTGTAGTGATTCCTCTTCTGCAACTGTCACTAGTCTAATACTATCCTTACATTTTTGTGTCATTTTACCCCACTCCCTCTAGCATGTAAGCTCATTGAGCAGGGCCCTCAACCCCTCTGTTCCTGTGTGTCCAACTTGTCTGGTTACAACTACATGTCTGTTCGTCCACCAATTGTAAAGCGCTGCGGAATTTGACGGCGCTCTATAAATGTAATAATAATAATAATAATAATAGTGTAGATTGGGAAAATTGCTTGAATTGAGGCCGAAAGTAGTCCTATGATTTAAGCTTAATTGTGAAGCTAAACCTGTTAAGAGGACAGCAGTTTCCAAATATCCTTTTTGGTGGATTTTTTCTTTGAAGACGAGAGATAAAGAATCGAAAGGAACGATCGATCTGAAAACACAAGAAAAGTATAGTCTGAGATGGGATCAGAGAAGATGTCTTGAAATTGATTACAAATCCAGGTTCTGAAGAGAAGAGAAGAATTTGGTAATTTCTGTATGTTTTTGAAGGGTGAACAGATCTTGAGCCATGATTAGGATGTCGTCTAGATGGACGATAGATCTGATACCTTGGGAACGGAGAAGAGCCATAACTGGTTTCATCAACTTGGTGAAACACCAAGGGGTGGAAGAGAGACCAAAAGAGAGGCAAGTGAGATGCCACCGGAAATGTAAGGTATGCATCTCTTAAATCAAAGTGGGAGAACCAATCTCCCTTGCAGAGGAGGTCTTGAAGAATGTGTATGCTTTCCTTTTTGAAATGACAATATACTATGAACTAATTTAAGTTTCTTAAATTGATGATAGGGCGAAGTTTGTTGGATTTCTTCCGCACCAGGAAAGTGTTGCTGAGAAACCTGGGTGGGAATAGAGAATGTTCGATTGAACTCTTGTCTCTGAGATTGCAGAGTTCTGAGTGTAAAAGGGCTGTGTTCGATTGGGAGATCCATAGAGGGTGAGGAGGAAACTCTTCTAGTGGGTCTTAGATTCAATCTATGTGAAACCCTGAAACAGTTTGAAGGATCTAAGGATCCTGAGTGAGTAGAGACCACTGTGGGAAAAATGGGTTATACGCCTACAACAGGTATTAGAAAAAAGGTAGGTTTATTACCTGGAGCAGTGCGACCCCTGGGTAAAGCAGACCCACATCCTCTGATCGATCCTCTGTTTGTGAAGAGTTGTCTGTGATAGGGGCGAGTTTAACCTGAGTTCCAAGGTCCAATGGCATGAGGCCTATAGTCTGTGAAGGCAGTCCTGCCGGTTGCTCGGCCTCTATGGCGACAGGCCCTGCCAGAATAATGATGAGAGTGGATCACTCAGCGCAGGTATGTTTGAGCTTTATTAAGGGAGGTGAAAACAGAAACATTTCTGTTGAGGTCTCTTATGAATTGATCACCCAAAAATAGGCCATTAACCTCTAAATCGAGTTCTTTAGAACTCAAATCTGACAATTTTGCGTCAATTTTGTATAAGACGGCTCTGCATCATTCAGTTGAAATGGCTACATTAACATTGCCAAGTAAACATAAGGCCCTCTGTGCCCATTCACGTACCAAATATGGATCCAAGGTACCGTCTGTTAAAGATTAAAGCAATGTCAAACAGCTTGTCCTGAACTGTTTTTAGACCCTGCACAAGGCCTTTGCGGGTGACTTTATCCGACATTCTTAGAAAGATGATCAGGAGAGGATCAAATTCAGGTGTGAGTGCCACCTTGTCGGGTATTGTTGGACCTGGACATTCTGCTCTCAGCTTATTTTGAATCTCATTTTCAAGCACCTTGCAGAGCCACATTCTTCAGAATTGGGCTATATGGTCTGATGGGACCCACTCAGCCGAGTGGGGATGTTTAATGATCCTGGGATCGAATAAGGGTTGGCCACTAGGATATAGTAAGGTAGACTCTGGGTCTTTGGGGGATTAATTGTGTTAGACACTTGAGAAACCAGAGGCTGATTAACAAAAGACTCCTTGACATAAGATGTATTAGCGTGTAGTGCATCAGTGTGAGATTCATCATCAGAATACCCCGTCCAGTACTCATCCATGACTTGTAGGTCATAGTGGAATGTTGAACCCTCTAGGGGATCAATTATCTGTTGACTCGAGGAGGTGTGTGATAACCTTGGATTTTTAGCCAGTGCCTTTACCGGCTGAGGCACTGTTGCCAGGAGCCCCTTCATAGTCAGATCTATTATGTTAATCCTCAGAGTCTGAGAAACTTTAGGTGATAGGTGGTTTGGGACCAGGAATGGACTGTTCGTGGAATGCTGCTATGGCTTTGGGCATAGACTCTGCAGAAAAGAGCCACGATTTGAACTCAGCAGAAACAGTAAATTCTTGTTGGTCAGACATATTGACAATAATGAAAGTATGACACGGTAATAGAACACTGACCAAAAATCAGAAAATATAAAAAAGGCAGGCAACAGGCTAATAAAGTATTGTTGTAATTAAAATACCAATAAAAATAATTAGGAAAAAAAATAGATATAACAGGGGGTCACACTATGTTTATAATTGGGGGTCACACTTTGAAATAAATTTTGGGGATCACCCAAGTAAAGCATATGGGGGTAACCCATTGATGCAGCAGTAAATGGGGGTCACCCAATTTATATATAGTTTTTTATATATAGATAAACAAAGATGCAGTAGGTAGCTAAGTAGTGGAGAAAATTACCACTATAGCAAACAGGGGTCACCTGTCACAATAAAGGGGGTCACACTTTAGGCAGATTAATGTTTGGATTTATTTATATGAAGTTGAAAAAATAATTCCACTTTAAATAGATGAGGCAGGAAGAATATGGGAAAGAAACTACTTAGAATATATTTTAAAAGATTATGGAAGAGTAGAACAAAGAAATATATTTCACAAGAAAAACTTACCTTGGTACTTAGAAAAATACGCTTTGAAAACCAAGAGGGATTAGAAGTGTTTCTCTGACAAAAATAAACTGCCAAAAGAAACAAAATAGCTGCTGGCACTGAAGGAGGCGGAAGCCACTCGTGTCACAGGAAAAAAGTGGGAAAAACGTCCAGATGGGCTGCGCAATACTCACGGCAGCGGGGCCTCACTAGTAGAGTGTTGGGAATATAAGAAAAAAGCTGCAATTAGATCGCGGTCAGCAAAAAAATAAATCCTGAATTGAAAGGGAGGGGAATAATTAGAGCTGAGTGTAAGAGGATAAAATGGCTTAACAGCCAGTGGGAGTGAAAGAAAAAACCCTGTGGGCCGACAAGAGGTTGGTCCTAAGGGGAGAATCTATATAATGAAGTATAAATAAAGATGTAATAACAATAATTAGGACCAAAAAAATAGAATTAAAACAATGGTATGGTAAAAAACTGAGGTAAATATACAGCACTAAGGCAGTGTAATCAGAATTGACTCACCTGGGAGGCAAGCAGCAAAGAAAGAGGAGTTGGGAGGAGTCTCATAGCCACATAATATAAAACCTGTATTTTGATTGGTTGATTGTTTTCAATTGTTTAACTGTTTCTTTGCTGTTGGGAGGAGCAAAGCAAATATGAAGCCTCCTGTCTTGCCATAAAACGTAAACTATTCTTCTAAACCCCTATTACGGTGCTTCCTGCCACCCCATGTGTTCCCTATGAAGCATTAATAAGTATGTAGGGGTTTATAAAAAAAAATACCCCTCTCTGTCTCATTAGAAATTTTACCTTTTAGCTGAAATTAGCAAGGTGAATTGTTAGTGTAGGGCTCACATAAGAGGTTTGCCTCAATGTGGCAGGTGAGCTTACACTTGAATAGCCATTGGCGTAGTACTAAAAAACCTCTAGTTGTTTAAAAGTGCATTGGGATTTGGGATAGAGGGCAAGGAACCTTTTTCTTTGGCTTCTGGAATATCCTCTACTATGTTTGCAGTGTTATATAATGAGGTTAAAAATATACAAGTTAGGCATTTTAGTCTGAGACCATGATTTATATTTTTCAGTGACACGCAAAACACAAGGTAAATCTTGTAAATTTTCAAAGAGAAAAAGTGGAGGTAATTAGAAGTGGAGATACTCGTGCTGCCAAGTCAATCTCCGAGGAGCCAATGTTTTCTTTGAAAAAACAGATTTAAAAAAAAAAAAAATTCACTCAAATTAATCTTATTCAATTTTCAGTCAACCAATTAGCACATAACTACACTTCCTTTACTCTAAGTTATATGGCTGTGCAATTCTCCTTCTTATCTTAACTGCTTCATGTTATCTCTGGAACTTAAAGTCACTCATTATATGATATCTATGTTGCATTCCTTTAAAAGTAGAAATAAAAAATATAAAACACCAGCACTAATAGGTAAAATTGAAGACACATGGAATAAATATATAGACACCAATTAACACAACTCAAAGTCTGGTTGGTGTTTCCACCTTCCAAACATTTAGTATGAGTGCAGCACTGTATAAGTGTTCACAGAAGAGAATATTTGTTAGCCCGGTCTTCATTATGTGATCTGATATTCTCCTTTGAACTGATATTAGATTAAATATGGAGTCCATGTAATACAAATATTTTGATATGAAAAGCCCATTCCACATAAGAAATAAGGCTGGATTGAAAACATTTTTTACAACCTCTGTGAAGGAGAACAAACTTGCATTTCTACTGCTATAGTGTCCCTGTCACTACCTACAATAGTCACCCCCCCCCCACACACTTCGTGTGACATAAAATTAATATAATGAAGGGTTTTACTCCCCAAAGCTTGCTGTTACAATATTCTGTTCATCCAACAAAAAATTATTCAAGATACTAAGGTTACTTGTTATTTTACTTCTGTGTCACTTGACTAATACAGCTAATTTTTAACCACAGTAGTAATTTTAAAGTACAGAATGATATCTTATGCATATAACTTCTAACATCCACAATTCCCTACTGATACATGCTCACTAGCAGCAGGGAATTGGTAGCAATAGGTATACGGATATTGTAACACGAGACTATGATCACTCAAGCAGCTGGAATAAAACGGATTTTTTTATTTTTTTTATTTAACCCACTGTACACTTCGTAACCACAAGTATTTCAAAATGTTTAATGGGGTGGATAGAAAAGGAACTGTCACAAACAAAAAACTTTAATAGGAAGGTATCTAGCAAGAGGATCATTCAGTTTTATGATCATTTAATACATCAAAAACATGGATAAAGTTGTGATGGATAACTGTTTTTCCCAGGCTTCAAACATGAAAAAGATTCTGCTGTCATCATGTCAGTATTGGTTTCATTCTTTCTTAATATAAGTTTATTCTGTGTCTCTAACACAGTAAAGGAGTTTAAGCATGCGTGGGATAGGCATAAGGCTATCCTAACTATAAGATAAGGCTAGGGACTAATGAAAGTATTTAGAAAATTGGGCAGACTAGATGGGCCGAATGGTTCTTATCTGCCGTCACATTCTATGTTTCTATGTTTCTATTACATCACAGAAATATACCATATTTCAATATTAGAGATTGAATCATATTTACGTATGCTAAGAAAAATGTGACAATACAGACAAAACCAAATTCTTGTATGCAATGTGTTCTGAAATTTTTTACATATTTTTGCAGCAATTTTTCTTATCAATGGGTCTGTTCTCATGTCATAACATTGTTAATATTAAGAAAATAATTAGCACATAAAACGCTATTCTATATTTTCATACTAGAGTTAAATGCTTATAACACTCATGGATTTAATTTGCATGTCCTTGTGCTTAATTGTTCTTGTGTATCACTTTACATCTCAGGGACCACTAGACTTTTCCATAAGCAGTCCATCAACACAAACATCAAAACACATAAGGGTCACGACGACGTGGTAATTTCAAAGCACTCTGGAAATTAAGTCTAAGGTTTCACTGTTGGGATTTCAGTGGGAAACAATATCACATTAACCATTTGTGAATGACATCTAGAAAATGAGAAATGTCTAACAATAATTACTGGGAAGGAAAAGCGTTACAAGGATGATTTTGGTGTTCAACGTGCTGTCTTATTTTCTGTCAAATAATGTCTTCTCCGTAAGCTACTTTTTTACATTAGGTGCGTTTAATTAGGTATATTGTATGCCAATGTCGCTTTTCTAGATTTAACAAAATTATTATTATTATTAATATGATAATCATTAACATTTTTATATAGATATCCTCCTTTAATGGTAATAGCAAATATAAAAATAAGTTACCGGTATTTAGTTTGCTTTTATTAAATATGTATCTCCTCTTCAATACTGTGACAACTGATCTCATTCTGGTTTCATAGGTTTTACACTAATTGCATCAGCAATCTCTCATTCTCTCCACCTGTTTGACAAGCACAACATCACGTACCAGGACAAGGAATAATACCAACATGCTGCATATAAATAGAGGGTCATCTTATGTTCACCCCATCCACCTAAAGTATCAGCAAAGCATGATGGTCTTACTCGTACGCAAGCTCAATAGACTGTCGATGGGTGGCCACACAACCTCCAGGGATTCTAGAAGGAATTATAGCTATTGCAGGACAACATGGTATGTATATCCTGTGGTTGCTGTTTATCTAATCTAATCTACAACAACACTGATAAACCCTCCATAGAATTGTTCTCTTGCTTAATATGCAAAGAAAGAACAAATAAATAATGCCAGGAAAAGCAAACACCCCAAATCCAAAATGAAAGGTTTATTACACAAGGTACATAGACAAACAGAGGAAAACAAAAGCCAAAATAATCTTCCTTACATGTTTCGGACCACCTGGTCCTTAGACATAGGATTCGCTTACCATGCTTGGAAAGTGCTCCGCTCTGCCACATGTTGATTAACAAGTGAAGAGGATAACTTTTTTTTTTTTTTTTAAACTACTCATTGCTTGCAATTCTGCATGCACGATGAACAGATGGTAATAATAAAGAAAAAAGAGGGATGGAACAGCGCTATCCAAACTGATCACAATGAAGAGGGAGAGGCTGCACACCTTAGCGGAAGGGTAACCCTCAAAACCTTTCAAAGGACTGGAAAAACAGAAAACAACAAGTACAGGGTGCACCAAGAACAAAGTGAATAAATAAAATAAATAATAGGAAAAAATACCAGGGAAACAGGCAAATTAAAGTCTCTAATTCACAGGTATATTCTTCAGAAATTCTCCAGACATCTTGGGTCAAATCCTCATCAGAATATATGAAAGAA